ACTATCTGACAAACTACTTCAAAGGCGGATCACTCGAAAAACCGACAATCGCTATTCCCACCAAGCATTACAAGGCGACAGAGGAGTTTCAATCCTCTGAGAAAGATCTTCACGATGCAGAGACGAGTAAGACATGTGAATGCACTGTTTATAGTTTCACAAAAGATAATCGTCGTTACAAGTTCATAGACACGCCTGGTCTCAGTGATACCGAAGGAACGGAGAAAGATGATCAGCATATTACAAAAATAAGGAATGCTGCAGAGCAAACTGGATCTATGGCTGGTATTATCATTGTCATAAATGGTACAGTAGCTAGAGCAACCGTAAACCTGCGGAACACTTTGGTTCGTTTAAGAGGTTTCGTTCCGGATATACTTCTGAACAACCTCATAGTTGTCTTCACTAACTGTTCAGTGTCTTCAGCTAACTTCGATCTGGAATCTCTCAGACCATGGACAGTGTCTGAAGAAAATGTATTTTACATGAATAACTCTGCCTTGAGCAAACCAAAGGACTTATGGATTACCAACTTGAGAATGAAGTCAGACCTCAGCAATAGTTGGCAGGAATCAATGAGAGAAATCAACAACATGATACTGAGTATGGAAAAGTTGGGATCTGTCGCTGCTAATGCATTTGGAGAGATGAGCCAGGAGAGAGCTCAAGGAATAGAAGCCAAGAGAAAGTCTAATGATATGAACAAAAATACTGAACGCCACCTAGATGATCTTTTGCAGAACGGAAATGAAGTTGTTTTAGACAATACGGTGATAAGGACCTCTGCATCCCCTCCATCTATCTTGCATAATATCCTCGTGATTGGAGAGACAGGCTCCGGGAAATCTACGCTAATCAACTATCTGACAAACTATTTCAAAGGCGGATCAGTTGAAGAACCGAGAATCGCTATTCCTACTCAGTATCATCAAGCGACAGAGAAGCATCAAACCTCGGAGTTGAATCTTCACGATGTAACAAAGAGTAAGACTAGTGAATGCACTGTTTACGATTTCACAAAAGATAATCGTCATTACAACTTCATCGACACCCCTGGTCTCAGTGATACCGAAGGAACAGAGAAGGACGATCAGCATATTACAAAAATTAGGAATGCTGCAGAGGAAACTGGGTCTATGACTGCTATTATTATTGTTATTAATGGTACGGTGGCTAGAGCTACAGTAAACCTGCGGAACACTTTGACTCGTTTAAGAGGTTCTGTACCAGACATCCTTCTGAACAATCTCATAGTTGTCCTTACTAATTGTTCAGTGTCTTCATCTAACTTCAATCTGGAATCCCTCGAGCCATGGACGGTTTCTGATGAAAATGTGTTTTACATGAATAACTCTGCCTTGAGCAAACCAAAGGAATCTTGGATTACCAACTTGAGAATGAAGTCAGACCTCAACAATAGTTGGCAGGAATCAATGAGAGAAATCAACAACATGATACTGAGTATGGAAAAGTTGGGATCTGTTGATACAAATGCATTTGGAGAAATGAGCCAGAAGATTAATAAGATTAAAGCAGAGCTCAATGGCATCTTGCTCGAAGTGAAAAAACTGCAGGATACGCAGAGTAAGCTGGATTCTGCTAAAGAGGCTCAAGAGCAAGTTGCTGGAAATGTTCAAAAGTTTTCAAATTTTAAGAGAACAGAGCAAGTGGAATATATAGAAATGGAGAAGACCAGTTATTACAATAAGATTTGCTTCAATCATCCTTTACAAGTTTGTAACGAATTCGGTTTATTGGAACACATGGCCATAAAAGTTATGGACTTCATATTAGGTGCAGATAATTGCGACGCCTGTCACTGTAGTCGTTCATACCACTGCACTACGAAGGAGAAGCCTGTGAAGAAAATGAGAACAGTTGAGAGTATCCTTCAAGATGTGAAAAGTCTTTATGACGAAAATACAAGTCAAGGTATCCGTCTTAAAGGTGAGATCACCAAGTGGAGTACTGATATTGAGATACTGGAAGCCGTTCTCGAGCAGAAAGAAAATGAAATTCGTGAGTGTTGTCACGAACTCAAGAAAATTTGTCCACAATTCAACTTCGTGGACGAGCTGAACTGCGTCTTTACCGCTATGATGGCACATGCTCGTACTCTTACATCATTGGAAGCCCAGAAAAAGGCTGATAAGATGATTAAAAATATCAAAGATATTGTAAATGAACTATCAAAGGAATAATCGACTGTATTTTAATTGTAATCTCGTAGTTTGTCAATAAAAATAATATATAGAATGGATAATAACAAATGAAGGTTCGTGGGTTGGTAATGTGGCAGAACGATTCAAACAGACCAATCTCTAGCCACCGTACCATTCATGAGAAAACAAACAATAGCAACAGTATATTCAAACTTCAGAAGACCAACCACATAAATGAAGAAAGAGATGAGCCAATTTTTCCAAAAAGAATAACGACATGGATAAAGTAAATTATTGGCCTCTATAAGTACTGAAACTTGGATTTCATCTTGTTCTCCAAAATGAGAAGTATAGTTCTCCTCCAGGAATTAAATATATAACCTTCACTGATTTCTTACGATGTATTGTTATGAACGACAGCTCATTCGCTTTCGAATTTTCAGAGATTATATCGCACTTATCTGCTCAACTGAGAATGAAAATAGGAATGAAAATCATGGAAACTTTATTCTCTGATAATTCAGAAGCTAATGAGCGGCCTTTCAACTCGACTATGCTCAAGCGTTCACTACACACAATCCTCACGCACGTTTCAACAAAGTGACCGTACATTGTACGATCAGGTGTATCATTGTGAACACTCTTTCTGCAGGCGGCATCACTTGGTCTGCTATTTGCAGCTAACTACACTTGTCAGTATGATTCCAATTAGATATAACCTTCAACAAG